AACGTAAAAAGACGAATGCACATTTACATTTTTGTAAATTCCTTTTTACGAACTTGTAAATTTCCTTTTTAAATAACATGTGAACGAAAAGGTAATGTAGCAGAAAATAAACGAGAAGTGATTGTAGTTCGGTGAAATTAATATATAGCAGAAAATAAACGAGAAGTGATTGTAGTTCGGTGAAATTAATAAAACAATAATGACCAATAAACTGAATAGAACTCACCCTTACGGAAATTCACCTGCAGCGTAGAAACCTGCGTCAGTAGGTCAGTGTTCCGAGCCTGGGCATCGAGGGCGAAATGGTTTATGGCAGGGTAGAATTCATGCCACTGGTGATCGCAGGTATGCGACACCAGCCGACGTTAAGAGTTGCAACGTCAAGTGCCGCCGGGTTAATCCATCGAATATGTATTCGCTTCACTGCACTGCACTAACACTGATCACCCAACACAATCACTTAATGTATTTTTAATCCAACGTGTTGTTACTACGTTAGGAAAATTCGTATCCCCGGAAAGGGCCGATTGGTTTTAATTTTTCAGATGTTTTACGTAGCCAAACACTTGCACACCAACACCCGCATATCCGTTATTGCGTACGTACCACCATAAGATTCCGAAAGGGATTCCTCTACCCCCAAGTAGTTTCCCATCGTTACATTGTGAGTTCACTCCCACCACGACAAGATTTAGGTAAAACGAAACCAACGGTTCTAGGATAACACGTGCTTTGCAGAAGTGCAAGGGAAGAACCGTCGCGCAGTTTCTCCAAGGCGCCGTAGCCCGTTAATTTATTGCCAGGGTACCCACTGCTTCGAGATAGAAAACAGACGTCACGTGCATCGGCTTGAAAATGTCCGAAATGAAGAGGCCCTGGCCGACCACCCTTGTAGAGGCCGGAGTGGAATTTTCGGTTCTTTATGGCTCAATTTCTTCGGCCTTTTTTTGTTTTAGTATTCCGTCAAATATCTCGGAATTTATTAGAAATATAAAAACCGTACAATTTGCAATATTGTGTTTGTTTTGATATTGAATGTAGCTATATCATTGAATTCCAGAATAATCCCTTTCTTTAAACAATCTTTCGACGACTCCTGACAGTGCGCGCTGCAGGTAAATCCAAAAAAAATACTACCGTATTCGTTGAACTCTTTTCCGTAAATCATTGACACTTTGATATAGCTTTTAATCTCATTGAAATAGTCTGGAGCGTTAGCGATACCATCAGTCGACTGTAATAGTGGAGCGCCCGATTCTTTTACCTGAACCGGGGCGCACCGCTGTCTTCAATGGGTTACTATTACGTTAATATGAACCGCATCACCCTACCGATAGGCTTATTTTACGGAAAAGAATTTAACGAATACGGTTTTTATATTTCTAATAATTTCCGAGATATTTGACGGAATACTAAAAAAAAAAATACGTATGAAATGTTTTCATGAGAACTACAATTTCACAAAGTTGTAATAAAATTGTCGATTGTCAATTCTGTTGTGAGTTCACGATTGCTACGAGGCCGAAGATTTTAAGCCATAAATAACCGAAAATTCCACTCCGGCCTCTACAAGGGTGGTCGTCCAGGGCCTTGCAGCGTCAACTGACACGTGTCGGTAAATTTTTTTCCCTGCTCCTCGAGATAGACAATGTACACTGTACTTTCCAACTCGAAGCAAGGGATACGTTGATGGTCCTCTTCATTTCGGACATTTTTAAGCCGATGCACGTGATGTCTGTTTTCTATCTCGAAGGAGTAGGTACCCTGGCAATAAATTAACGGGCTACGGCGCCTTGGAGAAACTGCGCGACGGTCCTTTCCTTCCACTTCTGCAAAGCACGTGTTATCCTAGAACCGTTGGTTTCTTTCTACCTAAATCTTGTCGTCGTGGGAGTGAACTCACAATGTAACGATGGGAAACTACTTGGGGGTAGATGAGAAATTCTGTCAGTCGGTTAGCAATCGGGCGACAGAGATGTTCAGTTCACGGGAGTATTACGGAATTTATTTTTCAGTGTTAGTGGTCGTGCAATGAAGTGAGTACGTATTCTGTGGAATAACCAGGACGCACTTGACGTTACAACCCTTAACTTCGGCTGGTGAGGTATACCTGCGGTCAGCTGCGAACTGGGCCATACCCTGCCATAAACCCTTTCAGCCGTCGATGACCAGGATCGGTTCAGTGACCTAGTGACACAGGTTTGCAAACTGCAGGTGAATTTCCGAAAGGGTGAGTTCTAATCAATTTAT